GGTCTATGAAAATTCTAACTAAAGGATGCAACCTGTTGAGGTGCTTTTTAACAGTTACAGCATTGCAACTGAGTGCCAACCATTCTTTTCCTATAGTGCAAGTTTGTGGGTCCTGGACAAATTTTAAACAGGATGAGAGTATTTCTGGTGGTAGATAAATGAGTTCTGTTGCAGGACCCTTCTCACTGAGAATCAACATCTGTCAAACCATGTCAACATCTGTGAAACCATGTAACTTTTTGAGACAGGGTCGCACTCTGTCACCCAAGACAGAGTACAGTGGTTTACTGCAGCCTTGACTTCCTGGGCTCAAGTGATCTTCCCACATCAGCCTCCCAAGTAGCTGGGACTACAGGTGTGTGCCACCACATCCAGCTAATTAAAAAATTTTTTTTTGTAGAAATGAGGTCTTACTATGTGGCCTAGGTTGGTCTCCAACTCCTGGGCTCAAGTGATCCACCTGTCCTGGCCTCCCAAAGTGCTGAGATTATAGGCGTGAGCCACCACATCCAGCCGTATCATGTAACTTTTCGAGAAGAAATTTGGCTGTTTACAAGATGTTTTGATCTTGAAATAGCAGAGATAAGGTCTCTGATCTAAACTCCTATGAGAAATAACATATGGTATATAAGAAGAGGTAAATTGCATAGGGAGGGACAAAATAATTACACCATGATTTTTGTCTTCTTTTATTTATTTCTTTATTGAGACAAGGTCTTACTCTGTCACCCAGGCTGGAGTGCAGTGGTGCAATCTCAGCTCACTGCAGCCTCAACCTCCCTGGGCTCAAGTGATCCTCCCGTTTCAGCCTCCTGAGTAGCAGGGACTAACAGGTGCATACCATCATGCCCAGCTAATTTTTTTGTATTTTGCAGAGGCAAGGTTTCACCATCTTGCCCAGGCTGGTCTTGAACTCCTGGGCTCAAGGGATCTGCCCACCTTGGCCTCCCAAAGTGTTGAGATTATAGGCGTGAACCACTGCATCCAGCCGTCTTATTTTTAATTTTAAATTTATTTTTTAAATGTTATTATTCTTTTTTGAGATGGGGTCTCACTCTGTTGCCCAGGCTGGAGTGCAGTGGCATGAGCGCAGCTCACTGCAGGTTCAACTGCCCCAGCTCAAATGATCCTCAGCGTCCCAAGTAGATGGGACCACCATGCCTGGCTATTTAAAAAAAGTGACAGGGTCTCTCCATGTTGCCCAGGCTGGTCTTGAACTCCTGAGCTCAAGTGATTCTCCTGCCTCAGCCTCCCAAAGTGCTGGGATTATAGGCGTGAGTCACCACGCCTGGCCTTAATTTTTATTTTAACATAAGCCTTTAGCAGCTAAATTTTATCTGACTTCTAACTTCAATGGTACTGCTATATGATGTAATATAGGAATCAGGTAAAATTCAGATTTTAGGAGCTTATAAACTTTAGTATAATACTTACTAATGATGATGATCAAATATATTGAGATTGAATTAAAGCCCTCTTAGAATGTTATCCCTGTGGGGGAGAATTGGCTTGATGAATATTTAGACTTCATTAATGATAGATTAATTATTGTTTTTAATAATTCAGCAGCTATACACCATAAAATGCAGAAAATGGTGGATCAGGGAGGCCAAAGGATTGTACAATTCATAGAAAAGACACAAGAAAGTGTAATTGGATAAATCAGCTGTCTGTTTAAATCAGTAATAACCCTTCAATAGTCATTGTAAATGTTTGGATTCTGTGTATGCATTTTTTTAGAGACAGAGTTTTGCTCTGTTCCTCAGGCTGGAATGCAGTGGTGTGATAATACTTCGCTGTGACCTGAAAATCTTGGGCTCAAGTGATCCTTCTGCCTCAGCCTCCACAGTAGCTAGGACTACAGGCATACGCCACAATGCCTGGCTAATTAAAAAATTTTTTTTGTAGAGATGAGGTCTTGCTATGTTGCCCAGGCTGGTCTCCAACTCCTTTCTGCCTCACATGATCCTCCCACCTTGGCCTCCTAGAGTGCTGAGATTGTAGGGGTGAGCCACTATGCCCTTCTTGTCTATATATTTTGATTATATATAAGATATTGTAAAGTAAAGTAACTCTTGTCAACTCAGGATTATTGTTTTATCAAAAAATATAGTTAATATTGGTTATGGGGTAGAGTGAACTGTTCTGCTAATTCCAGGCCTAAAATTAGATAAGACTATTTTGCTAAAGTTCCTTCCTTGGTCAAGGCATGGCAGGAAACACAATGATTGAAAATGTTAAGAGGAAGCTGGGTGGGGTGGTTCATGCCTGTGATCTTAGTGTTTTGGGAGGTTAAGGATGAAATATCTTATGAGGCCAGGAGTGCAACACCAGACTGGGCAATACAGTGAGACTCTATACAAAAACCCAAAAAATTAGCCAGGCATGGTGGTATGTGCCTGTAATCCAAGCTACTCAGGAAGCTGAGGTAAGAGGATCCCCTAAGTCCAGGACTTCAAGGCTGCAGTAAGCTATGATCTCACCATGCACTCCAACCTGAGCGATAATAATGAGACCCTCTCAAAAAGAAAAAAAAAAGCATTAGGAAGGCAATAAGCACATAAAAAGATGCCCAACACCACTAATCATCAGGGAAATGAAAATCCAAACCAAGATAAGATATGACTTCACACCCATTAGGATTGGCTATTACCACAAAAACAGAACAAGTGTTGGTGTAGAGTGGAGAAATTAGAACCTGTGGTGCACTGCTAGTGGGAACATGAAATGGTGTAGCCACCATGGGAAACAGTATGGTGGTCTTCAAAATATTAAGCATTGAATTACAGTTTGATCTAGCAACTCCAACTGTGTGAATATACAAAATAGAATTAAAAGAGACTTGAACAGAAGATATTTGTACATTTATGCTCACAGCAACATTATTCACAATAATAAAAAAGAGATATAGAAACCAAATGTTCATCAATGGATGAATGGACAAATAAAATATGGCATATGTATACAATGAAATATTATTCAGTCTTTAAAAAGAATGAGGCTGGGCACTACGGCTCATACCTGTAATCCCAGCATTTTGGGAGGTCGATATGAGCGGATTGCTTGAGCTCAGGAGTTTGAGACTAGCCTGGACAACATTAAGAGACTGTCTCTACAAAAAATTTAAAAAATTAGCAGGCATGGTGGCATGTGCCTGTGGTCTCAGCTACATGGGAGGCTAAGGTGGAAGGATCACTTGAACCCAGGAGGTTGAGACTATAGTCAGCTGTGATCATGCTACTGTACTCTAGACTGGGCAACAGAGCAAGACTCTGTCTCAAAAAAGAAAAAAAAAAAAGAATGAAATTCTAATGGATGAACCTTAAAAACATGCTAAGTGAAATAAGCCGGTCACAAAAAGCCCAATGTTGTATGATTCCATATCGAATAGGTAGATTTATAGAGAAAGCAGAGGTTACTGGGGGGCTGGAGAAAGGGAGAATGGGAGGGTATTATTTATGTGTATAGTTTCTATTTGGAATGATGGAAAAAGTGGTGATGGCTGCACAACAATGTGAATATACTTAATGTCACTGAATTTCACACTTAAAAATGGTTAAAATGGCTTCTTTTATGTTATGCATAGTTTACCACAGTTAAAAAAAATTTAAATTAAGTCAATGGCCAACACTTTGGAGAGAATAAATGAAATATGGCGTTTTGGAGCAGTCTATATCAGTTTGCCGGTGAGAGATTTATGGTTTACACTTGGTCTCTGTGAGACCTCTTGGTGGTTTTACCGTTACATAGCAGGAATATGACTATGTGATCAAAAAAACAAAAATCCCTAGCTGAGATTCCATTTTGGGGTCTCTGATCCTGAGGTATTCTGTGTATTGTGTTTCCCCCAGAATTAATGTGTTTAAGCTCTAATCTCTATGTCTTTAGGAGGTAATTAAGGTTAAATTAGGCAATGAAGGGTGGGGCTCTAATCTAATGGGACTATGGACTTATAAGAAGGCCCTCTTTCCCTGTCATGTAAGGACAGAGCAAGAAAGCAACTTTCTCGTAAGCCAGGAGAAGAGCCCTCACCAGAAACGGACCATGATGGCACCCTAATCTCAGACTTCCATACTGCAAAATTATGAGACAATAAATTTCTCTTGCTTAAGCCATGAAGATTGTTTTGTTATGGGAGCCTGAGCAGAGTATGACAACACTGGTAATTCCTAATTTGTAAGAGAAAGATACATTCTACCTGGCCCTTGTCTAAGGAAGACCATAGGAGCCAGCACCTATCTTCTCTGCGCTTCTTGCTTTGAAATTGGCTGTGATATATATCCTTACTTTCATACTGTGGTTATTTTGTACCCTTTTCCTATAATAAATTGCAGATCTGTAAGCATTGTCACTTTGGGTCCTGAGTCTTTCTTAGTAACCAACCTGTTTAAATGACACTATTAGTGTAACTATAAAGAAAGGAAACAGAATTAATTTCTGTTGTTCCAAGGAGAGAGAAGATTAATGGGTAGGCTGGGCATGGTAGTTCAGACCTGTAATCCCAGCACTTTGGGAGGCCGAGGTGGGTGGATCACCTCAAGTCAGGAGTTCAAGATCAGCCTGACCAACATGGAGAAACCCCGTCTCTACTAAAAATACAAAATTAGCCGGGCATGGTGGCACATGCCTGTAATCCCAGCTACTCAGGAGGCTGAGGCATGAGAATCACTTGAACCCCGGAGGTGGAGGTTGCAGTGAGCTGAGATCATGCCATTGCATTCCAGCCTGGGCAACAAGAGCAAAACTCTATCACAAAACAACAACAACAACAAAAAAGATGGATGAGTAAAAGAACAATCTTAACAGAAGGCAGATTTACTTTGCCTTACAAGGTATTAAGCAAGTCTCCAGGTATGTTCACTACACACTGCAGCAGAAGCTAGATCCCCATCTGCCTGTGAGGAGACTGCATTGGGTATATGGCCTCAAGGTGCTTACTGAACCTTAAGAGTTTATAATTTTTCCAATTTGGAAAAAATCATTTTCAGTAGGACTCATACCTGTGATGTCAGCTTCCCAGCAATCTGCATTCGTTCAATTTCTGCAGGAGATTTGATCAGCCGGAGGCGCTGTACCAGCTGTTGAACACCCCGAACCTTGTTCTTGCTCCTGGCTTTGGCCTCAATCAGGGGCTGCATGTAGTCAGAGTGAAGCTGTGGATGCGAGGGCCTCATCCAGTCATACCAAACCATGTTCGTCTCAGCTTAGAATGAGAAGCCAAAAAATAAATTTAAAACAAAACTACCAACAAGAAGAAATCTCAACTGTCATAACGACTGGAACAAGAGTCAAAAGTATAAAACCTGTAATGTGGAACTCTAAAGTGTTGGGAGTAAAACTCTCTCAGGACTGTAGCAATAAAGGTTTGATTATAAATCACTAGGAAGGTCATTTCCTCGAAGCTGCAAGATATTCTAAGACTGAATATACAGCTTTTCTGCCCCTAAACTTCAGTGTTCTTTATAAAGGATGACAGATGGGACTAAAGCTTTATTCAGGCTTTGATTTTGTTTCATTATTTATCGTTTTTTTGTGAGGCAGAGTCTCCCTCTGTTGCCCAGGCTGGAGTGCAGTGGCACGATCTTGGCTCACTGCAACCTCGGCTTCCCGGGTTCAAGTAATTCTTCTGCCTCAGCCTGCCAAGTAGCTGGGACTACAAGTGCACGCCATCACGCCCCACTGATTTTTGTATTTTTAATAGAGACAGCGGTTTCACCATGTTGGCCAGGGTGGTCTCGAACTCCTGACCTTGTGATCCAGCTGCCTCAGCCTCCCAAAGTGCTGGGATACCATGTGTTGAGCCACTGCATCCAGCCTTTATTATTTATTGTTAAAGAACAATTAAAACAACTGTTCTTCACCACCACTTATTGAGCTGAGGCACTTGCCGAATAATTGTACACAAAAGGACAGAAAAACATACTCAGATTATGACTTTACGGGTAAAGTGTCCCATCCTTTCACATAATAATCTCAGTACTGGGGAAAGGGTTCTCCTCCCATTCTGGAACAATTATTCATTGCTATGTAAACACTACAGTTGGCTGGGCGTAGTGGCTCACGCCTATAATCTAAGCACTTTGGAGGCCAAGGCGGGCAGATCACCTGAGGTTGGGAGTTCAAGAGCAGCCTAACCAACATGGTGAAACCCTATCTTAAAATAATAAATAAATAAATAAAAATGAAAAATATTAAAAAAAGAAAAAAACCACGACAGTCGATATTTCCTCACTTCTCCGTTTACAACTGCTACACACTCTCTTTGTAAACAACCACAGTTCACCTTTCAACTTTAGACACCTAAGGAAATGGTCTATATTTGCCTGAGATGTACGATATAAAGGCTCATTATGAAAATGATTTGCACTTAACACCAGATAGATCTACATTTGTACTTTTTCTTTCTAACAGTAGGCTATGAACAGTATTCCCAACAATCTAAGTGAGAAGGTCTCTATGTTTTATATGACTAAAAAGTACTTTGGGGAAACTAGAGGGGAAAAAGTCCAGAAAACTTAGATTGGATATGCACTAATGATTCTATGTCCTGTATATTTTCATTTTTAAAATAAAAATGGTTTTGAATATATATTACATGGGAAACACTTATCCTACTTATAATAGATGAAAATTTAATTGTCATAATTTTTTTTTTTTGAGTGAGAGTCTCACTCTGTTGACCAGGCTGGAGTGCAGTGGCATGATCTCAGCCCACTGTATCCTCCACCTCCCTGGTTCAAGCAGTTCCCCTGACTCAGCCTCCCAATTAGCTGGATTACTGGTGTACGCCACCATGCCCAGCTCATTTTTTTGCATTTTTAGTAAAGACAAGGGTTTCACGATGTTAGCCAGACTGTTCTCAAACTCTTGACCTCAGGCAATCTGCCCACCTTGACCTCCCAAAGTACTGGGATTACAGGAGTGAGCCACTGCGCTCGGCCAATTGTTATAATTTAAGTAAAACAACCTCTACAACAACCTCTACTACCTGTTCACAGTGTATGAAATCATAGCTCACTTTTTCAAAGGTTTTTTTAGCCTTTAAAAAATATGATTTTGGCCAACATTAAGAATGGTGACTGAAAAGTACTTTTGAGAAATTTATTTTACATGAGATTGTAACTATACTGAGTTAATGAAATTTAGACAGAATATGACAACCAGCAATGCAAGAAATAAAAAAGCTACAAAGAAAATGATTCTATGCCCCATATTTACGTGGATTTTGAAGACACAAGAAAGTTCAATGAATTGAACAGGCTAATTATCTATAAAATGGAAAATATTTCTATAAAGTAATAAAATGAATTTAATCAAATGTATTAGAACTTACACATTCAAATGAGTATTTTTTCTTTCTTTTTTTTTTTTTGAGACAGTCTCACTCTGTCACCAAGCTGGAGTGCAGTGGTGCAATCTCAGCTCTCAGCTCACTGCAACCTCTACCTCTGGGGTTCAAGTGATTCTCGTGCCTCAGCCTCCTGAGTAGCTGAGACTACAGGTGCATGCCACCACGCCCAGCTAATTTTTGTGTTTTTAGTAGAGACAGGGTTTCACCATGTTGGCCAGGATGGTCTCGATCTCCTGACTTCGTGATCCACCTGCCTTGGCCTCCCAAAGTGCCAGGATTATAGGCGTGAGCCATGGCTCCTGACCTCAAATGAGTATTTTCTTCCAAAAAAGTCTTTACAGGAAACAGTCTAATATATTTCATGATTGTGAGAAACATTTTTGGAATTCTCTTTTAGAACCTAACTTCAGAAATGATTTATGAGCCATATAAGAAAAATCAAACAAAAACTTTACAGTTATACATTATCCTGCCCTAAAATCAGTATTTTTAAACTTGATCATCTATCTTATTTTCTAAGTAAGATACTTTAAAAAATAAAACACTTCCCAGAGCTAAAGTTTTATAAGAATTACTAAAGATAGTACAAACTAAATATATAAACTAGATATATAAACTATATAATGTGGTATAGTTACTGAAAAAAATTCCCAGAAGAAAAATCTCAAAACATTCAGACTGATTAAAATTTCACCAGAGGAACTACAGAGAAAGTAATTTCTTTGAGGGACAAGAAGTCAACTGTGCAGGCATGGCGCAACACATCTGTAATCCTAGCACTTCAGGAGGCCAAGGTGGGAGGCTCCCTTGAGGCCAGAAGTTCAAAACTAGCCTAGGCAACAAAATGAAAGCCATCTCTACAAAAAATTTTTAAAAATTAACCAGATGTGGTAGTGTGCCCAGGTAGTCCCTGTATTCTGGAGGCTGAGGCAGGAAGACTGTGCTTTGGGGTTTGAGGTTGCAGTGAGCTATCACTGTGCCACTATACTCCAACCTGGGGGACAGAGTGAGACTCTGCCTCAAAAGAAAAAAAAAAAAACTCAACTGTATATGAACCACACAAGGATCTTGTTAAAATGCAGATTCTGATTTAGTAGATATGAGGTAGAGACCTGAGGTTTTACTTCCTATTACATATTACACATTTTAAATTTTAATATTGATATGGATTGGCAGGTGATTCTGATGCTGTGAAAAAAACTCAACTGTATATGAACCACACAAGGATCTTGTTAAAATGCAGATTCTGATTTAGTAGATATGAGGTAGAGACCTGAGGTTTTACTTCCTATTACATATTACATATTTTAAATTTTAATATTGATATGGATTGGCAGGTGATTCTGATGCTGTGATGATCATTTTTGGAGAACAGTACCTCCTTTTGAGGATTTGGCAAGAGCACTAATATAAGAAGTAGTAGTCAAATATCAAGAAGCTGGTCAGTAATCTTGAAGAAATGGTGGTGCTACAATAATGAAATTAAGGACTTTTCTAAACAGGCAAGAAAGGTCTTTTTTTTTTTTTTTGAGATGGAGTTTCGCTCTTGTTACCCAGGCTGGAGTGCAATGGCACGATCTCTGCTCACCACAACCTCCGCCTCCTGGGTTCACGCAATTCTACTGCCTCAGCCTCCTGAGTAGCTGGGATTACAGGCATGCGCCACCATCCCCAGCTAATTTTTTGTATTTTCAGTAGAGACAGGGTTTCACCATGTGACCAGAATGGTCTCGATCTCTTGACCTCGTGATCCACCCGCCTTGGCCTCCCAAAGTGCTGGGATTATAGGCGTGAGCCACCGGCGCCTGGCTGACAAGAAAGGTCTTTATCCCAATCTGGTTTGTAATGTGACTTCTGCTCCCATTTGTTACCTTTCATTTTTGGTAAAAGATGTTGAAATTCTTCTAGAGTATAGGCTTCATCCACTCCAGTTAGAGCTATTGCTCCATCAGTGCCAGATCGTGGGCCATCCCAAAGTTCTCGACTGGGATCTCGCCGAGGCACAAAAAGTATGGCTTTGTGTGATGGTAATTGTTTGCCAGGGAGGCTTTGAAGGACGAGAATACTATCAGGCTCTTGGAATCCACACAGGTACAGGAAATTGTTGTCTTGGTGGAAAGTATAGGGAATATCGTTGCTCATGTAGTATGTAGGGTTGGAGAGCACAACCACTGTCTGGTCTGTCCCACTCTGTCCTTGTGCTTCCTTCTGGATCAGAGACATTAGTTTGTGTCTGCGAAGAGCATACTCCACCTGAGATAGTCCTGGAGTTACCTCCCCTAGAAATGAAAAATAAAAATGGTACTTTACATTTCTGCAGTGCCAAAATATGTAAGGTCGTTTTTTTTTTTTTGAAATGCAGTCTCGCTCTGTAGCCCAGGCTGCAGTGCAGTGGTGCAATCTCAGCTCACTGCAACCTCTGCCTTCTGAGTCTCAGTTCAAGGAATTCTCCTACCTCAGCCTCCCAAGAGGTAGAGGTGGGAGAGACAGGGTTTTTAGTAGAGTCGGGATTTCACAATGTTGGCCAGTCTGGTCTTGAACTCCTGACCTCGTGATTCGCCCACCTTGGCCTCCCAAAGTGCTGGGATTACAGACGTGAGCCACCATAACTGGCCCTTAAGGTAATTTAATATTAGATAGAGATACTCAAGTACAATTGTTCAATTTATGCCAAATCTCCTTATAGCACATGGGGAATTAAGGAGATAACCCAGGTTTCAAATTTCTATTCCATTACAAAAATTTGGAAGAAATGATAGTTGAATGTGGTCCTACCTGAAAACTGGAACCATGGACCCCTTAAGTTGCTTCCAGGTTTTTGGTGTATTCTTGTACTCACTCAGTTATATGCTTTGTGTGTATGTGCATGTGTATATATACGTGTGTACATATACATATAGGTATGTGTATATATATACATGTGTGTGTGTGCATGTGCGTGCGTGTATTTATTTATTTATTTATTTTTAAGACAGAGTTTCCCTCTTGTTGCCCAGGCTGGAGTGCAGTGGCATGATCTTGGCTCACCACAACCTCCACCTCCTGGACTCAAGCAATTCTCCCTCTTCAGCCTCCCGAGTAGCTGAGGTGGCTCATGCCTGTAATCCTAGCACTCTGGGAGGCCAAGGCATGTGATCACCTGAGGTCAGGAGTTCAAGACCAGCATGGCCAACATGGTGAAACTCATCTCTACTAAAAAAAAAAAAAAAAAATACAAAAATTAGGTGTGGTGGTGTATGCTTGTAATCCCAGCTACTCGGGAGGCTGAGGCAGGAGAATCACTTGAACCTGGGAGGTGGAGGTTGCAGTGAGCCAAGATCCTACCACTGCACTCCAGCCTAGGCAACAAAGTGAGACTCCATTTCAAATAAATAAAATAAAGTATTTATTTCTTTATCTTTTTTTTTTTGAGACAGAGTTTTGCTCTTGTTACCCAGGCTGGAGTGCAATGGCACGATCTCGGCTCACCGCAACCTCCGCCTCCTGGGTTCAGGCAATTCCGCTGCCTCAGCCTCCTGAGTAGCTGGGATTATGGGCACGTGCCACCATGCCCAGCTAATTTTTTGTATTTTTAGTAGAGACGGGGTTTTACCACGTTGACCAGGATGGTCTCAATCTCTTGACCTCGTGATCCACCTGCCTCGGGCTCCCAAAGTGCTGGGATTACAGGCTTGAGCCACCGCACCTGGCCTAAAGTATATATTTCAAGAGCTTCTGATAGAGTCACAGAATTGTGCAACCATCACCATAATAAATTTTAGAACATTTCAATTAAAAAAACTCCATGTCCATGAGCAGTCACTCCCCATTTTCTCACAATCCCCCAAGACCTTGGCAACTCCTAATCTATTATCTGTCTCTATGGATTTGCCTACAGCAGACATTTCATATGATGAAACGGTACAATATAGGGCCTTTGTTGACGTGGCCAACTTTTTTTTAATCACTGCCCCAAGCATTGTGCAATTAATTCCCTATTTCTTACATAAGTAAAAAATCTATTCTTTATTATCTTGCTTACAATATGTCTTCTAAAATTTCTTCTCCTGCTATACTAACTCCACTTCAAAACCTTGGCTTAATACATGTTTGTTTTCAGACTCTTCTCATGCAAAAAGTTTTCTTGATTAGCCTAAGTAATACTGATTTATCCCTTTGAATTTTTTTTTTTTTTTGAGACAGGGTCTCGCTCTGTCACCTAGACAGGAATGCAGTGACACCATCTCAGCTCACTGCAACCTCTGCCTCCTGAGCTCAAGGAATTCTCCCACCTCAGCCTCCTGAGTAGCTGGGATTACAGGCACAGACTACCACACCTGGGTAATTTTTTTTTTTGAGACAGAGTTTCGCTCTTGTTACCCAGGCTGGAGTGCAATGGCACAATCTCGGCTCACCGCAACCTCCGCCTCCTGGGTTCAAGCAATTCTCCTGCCTCAGCCTCCCGAGTAGCTGGTACTACAGGCGCGCGCCACCATGCCCAGCTAATTTTTGTATTTTTAGTAGAGACGAGGTTTCACCTTGATGACCAGGATGGTCTCGATCTCTTGACCTCGTGATCCACCCTCCTCGGCCTCCCAAAGTGCTGGGATTACAGGCATGAGCCACTGCGCCTGGCCACACACCTGAGTAATTTTTTTTGCATTTTTAGTAGAGACAGATTTTCACCATATTGGCCAGGCTGGTCTTGAACTCCTGACCTCAGGTGATCTACCTGCCTTGGCCTCCCAAAGTTCTGGGATTATAGGTGTGAGCCACCGTGCCCAGTGACCTTTGAATTTTAAAAAGGTAACTATTTCACTTCCTTATATACATACACCCTATAGTTGTATATAAATGAAGACTGAATTCTTTCAATGTTTTTCCCTCTTTTCTCCATTGTTTGGCTCCTTACTCCTATTCCCTCCTCCTACTCACATCAACACCTTGACCAGGTTTGTAATCTAGTATGTATGTTTTCTGAGTTTTCTCACCACTCACATGGTCATACATACATACACACACATGCATTTAGGGCTTTTTGGGCCACTACTATTTTACAAAATGGGATACTACACACTCTTTTCTGTATCTTTCTTTTCTAACATAACAATAGGTCATGGAATTCTCTCACTTCAAGTCATCAATTCATTCTGCTTGATGCCTTCATGCCATTTCTAGGGGTGAATAAACCTTAACTTATTCAGTCATTTCTATACTGTAGGAATTCAGTTTTCAGCTTTTGCTGCTGTTATATCTTAGTACTTTTATATCCTATGTACTGGTGCTTTAATTCCTTTGGGGATAGTTCCAGGAGAAAAACTGGTCAAAGATCTTTGGATTTCCTTAGTATTCATATTCAGTATATGATTACCTTAGACCTAATTTTTTTTTCTTTGTCACCCAGGAGGGAGTACAGTGGCATGATCTTGGCTCACTGCAACTCCACCTCCCTGAGCGATTCTCATGCCTCAGCTACCCAAATAGCTGGGATTACAGGTGTATGCCACCAGGCCTGGCTAATTTTTGTATTTTTGTTTATTTATTGCTACTATTTTTATTTTTTTGAGAAGGAGTCTTGTTGTGTCAACCAGGGTGGAGTGCAGTGGTTTGATCTTGGCTCACTGCACCCTCTAACTTCCGGCTTCAAGCGATTCTCCTGCCTTAGCCTCCTGAAGAGCTAGAATTACAGGCGTGCACCACAAGGCCTGGAGAATTCTTTTATTTTTAGTAGAGATGAGGTTTCACCATGTTGGCCAGGCTGGTTTCGAACTTCTGACCTCAAATGATCTGCCCACCTAGGCCTCCCAAAGTGCTGGGATTACAGGCGTGAGCCACTGTGCCTGGCCTAATTTTTGTATTTTTAGTAAAGACAGGATTTCTCCATGTTGCCCAGGCTGGTCTCGAACTCCTGGCCTCAAACAATCCGTCTGCCGCAGCTTCCCAAAGTGTTGGGATTACAGGCGTAAGCCATGTCCACTGGCCTAGGATCTAACTATTTTACCTATGTATAGTTTATCTCGCCAGCAAATTCTGTAATTTGTATTCCATTAATAAAGTATTAATTTTTATTTAACTTTTCAGACATCTACAATAGAAACAAATTTATGTTTTTGTTGATGAGTTGGCAAGAAATAAGAGAAAGAAATAAGTGAAGGCCTTATGAGCCAATATGAAGCCACTGAAGCAACAAAATGGGGCCAAGAAGAACTCATATCACATTTTTTTCTTTCAAGATTGAGCTGGCTAAGAGTCCCCTAGGATTCTCTGGCAGAATACTGAACTTTGTACTAGAGCTGACTATCTCCTTGATAATTATTCATGTTTAGTCCGCCGCTGTTATTCAACATTGAAAATTTCCTGATTTACTCAAGTAGTAAATACTCTTACAAAAGCAGAGGCTGGTTATAATTGGTGAATTACGGACCTTCCCTTTATTTCATCGTTTTATTTTCTTCCTTTCCTGAACTTTGCTTTTAGTTATTTCACAGCTATAGTCCATAAAATAAAAAGGAATTAAAAAATCAGCTGGCGGCCGGGCGCGGTGGCTCACGCCTATGATCCCAGCACTTTGGGAGGCCGAGGCGGGTGGATCACGAGGTCAAGAGATCGAGACCAACCTGGTCAACATGGTGAAACCCCGTCTCTACTAAAAATACAAAAAATTAGCTGGGCATGGTGGCGCGTGCCTATAATCCCAGCTACTCAGGAGGCTGAGGCAGGAGAATTGCCTGAGCCCAGGAGGCGGAGGTTGCAGTGAGCCGAGATCGTGCCATTGCACTCCAGCCTGGGTAACAAGAGCGAAACTCCGTCTCAAAAAAAAAAAATAAATAAAATAAAATAAAAAATAAAAAATCAGCTGGCCTCAGTGGCTCATGCCTATAGTCCCAGCACTTTGGGAGGCTGACGAGGGCAGATCACCTCTGGTCAGGGGTTTGAGACCATTCTGGCAAACATGGTGAAACCCTGTCTCTACTAAAAATACAAAAAATTGGCCAGGTGTGGTGGTGCATGCCTATAGTCCCAGCAACGTGGGAGACTGAGGTAGAAGAATTGTTTGAACCCAGGAGGCAGAGGTTGCAGTGAACTGAGATGGTGCCACTAGACTTCAGCCTGGGTGACAGAGTGAGAATCCCTCTCCAAAAACAAAAACAAAAAAATTTAAAAATCAATTAATTGCCCAAACACAGTGGCTCACGCCTATATATCCCAGAACTTTGGGAGGCCGAGGCAGGTGGATCACTAGGTCAGGCGTTCAAGACCAGCCTGGCTAAGATTGTGAAACCATTTTTACTAAAACTAC